ACAAATACTGAAAAGTAACATGTCTTTAAGGCTACATATACAAAACATAAACACCTATAAGTAGACATCTGAAATAACTTTATAAACATAAACTCACCACCTATAACACATAAACTCACCACCTATAACACAGCATTCAGGAAGAGGAATTGAACCTAATGATAAACTAGGATACCAAGTAACATCGAGAGAAGAAAATTTGTTTGGGAGCATTGCTAAAGGTGCTAGTGATACCAGCATGATGTACGAACAATTCTAAATGTATATAGCAGATAGCAACATTTTCCCCTTTTTCTCCTTCCTTCCTTCCTCTCTCCCTTCTCTTCCCTTCCTTCAGTCTTTCCTTCCTTCTTTTCTTTTTTGCTGACAGTATTAACACTAAAGTGGCTTAGTAACTGTAAAGTCCAAAACAGAACTATAATAAAGTGTATGTATATTGTAAAATTAAGCATATATATGTTTTATATAGACACACACAGAGATGGTTGACCTTCATTCCAGTTTGAATTCCCAGCCTCCTAATGCTTATTACTAATAGAGGGGAGCACCTACCCCCACATTTGCTGCTGACACTGAGAGAGGAGCCAGCCTAAAGCCAGTCTGCCATTTCTCCCAGGGATCAATTATCCCTTCCCCAGCACTAGCCCGGATCTATGTTTATCCAGGGGATTAGGGATCCTGCCTATTTTTATGTAAAAAATTCTTCTTTAAACCCTTAACAACCAAATTAGCTTCAGAACACAATGCTGGGAGCCAAAGTAGTTGAAGAAAATAAAGATAAAGCAAAAGAATACATTTCAGTGTAGGTCATTAAAAAAAAAAAAAAAAAGTCAAGTTACCCATACAACTGAATGAGTATATACATGCTGACTCTAATTTTTGATCGAGGGGTCAGAGTATTTAGAACAATTCAGAGAAAGATAAACTATTTGAGACAGAAAGGAAGCCATTTACCTCTAGTAAGGTGAAGAAGCGTATAATCCACATACACAGCTAACAATTTAGGAATCCTGTGAATCACCCACTTTGGGAAGTGATGGATACAGAAGAGAACTTTGGTAATAGACAGAGATGAGGTCTCCAGATATTAATCTGCTCTATATGGAGTCCCCATCCTAGTGTCTTCCAGGAGGAAGAAACAATAAATAGCACACCAAACTTGGTAGGATTTCTAAAACTGGATATGTAATAAATATGAATCACTAACTTTTACATAGGCAACGGCAACTTAAAATTATAGAAAACATTATTATTCAATAACATCTTGAGTTTTCTAATATCTTTTATCTGCTAGACAAAAATTAGTTCCATTCACACATTCTTGGGCTCACTAGGACAAATACTTACCAGGCTATTCTTAAGAACATTAAGATTTATCATCTAACCCAGACCTGCCTGAGTTAAAAGGCTATGTGAAATAAAAGAAAAAGGCACAGAACTAGGGTTAAGAAAGGTTAATTTCAGTCCTGCCTCTATCATTAAATAACTGTTTAATCCCTGCCATGTCACTTCACTTCAATGATGTGACATTCGGTATTTCTTAAACGGAGTTAAATTACAAAATTTCTAGCTTTAAATGTTAAGCTAGTTCTCATTATCACTTTTTAAACATCTATTTCTATCAAAGTAATAAATACACAACACTACTTTCTAAAGGTGAATCTCTAAGATAAAAAGGTCAATATAAATGTTGTCCTGCTTTACCCATGGGATAAGCTACAAAGAGAAGAATAATACCTGTTAGTTTGTACAAAGAAAAAAAAATAGAGATGAGTGCTTTCTCCCTTTGTTTTTTTAATTAACCAGAATTCCTATGAACCAGATTTCTGCAAATCCAGTTAATTTTTAAATCCAAATCAGTCTTGTTCTACATTATGCTCCCTACAATTAGCTGTTTCACTACAAGTTTGTTATGATGACAAAATGCCTTCTGACTTAACAATGTTATCATAATTTGAAAAAAGGTAATTTTTCTCTTAATAGCTCTCAGATTTAAGCAAGTTACTCTTTGCTTCAATGTCTGAATTTGTAAAATAAGGATAAACGATCTGTCCGTGATTGTTGAAAAGATTTAAAAAAAGTGAAAGTATGGTTAACTTGTATAAAAAATTTATTCAATAAACATTTGTATTTTAAAGGTATGACATTTACAAATATATGGTAGCTGAAGGAAACTGGACTTTTGGTGGTAAACACACAAGAGAATAAAAAATAAAGGCATGACATTTACAAAAGCTACTAAAATGACCCATTCCTTATTAGTAGCACTTTCACTCCAAAAGACCTAGCTGAAAAATAAGACAAGTAGATGTTTAAATCATGCAACTGTCAAGTGTTATTTTAAAAATTCCACTCAAATATGTATTGAGCATTTACTATGTGCCAAGTACTATAACGCTAGCATTCCAGAATTCAGTGATTAAGACATTACCCCACCCTCAAAAAGCTCAGTCTAGCAAAGATAAATAAAAATTGTAATGTAATTGAAAAATATAATTTAAAAAGCATGTATAAGGAGAAGTAGCAGGATGAAGCAAGTAATTCATTCTGCCCAAAGAGAGTAAAAAGGAAGTAGCTAAAGCATTCTGAAAAAGGAGAAAAGGAAGTCCTGCAGGCAAGGACTAGGGTTTAAAGACTAATGCAGTCATTTACTAGCTATATGATTTGGGGGCAACTTAATTTACCTCTCTGAGCTTTGAAAATCTACTCTGGAGAGTTAATTCTGAAGATTAGAAATAATATATGTAAAGTGCCTGATACATAGTAGGAATTCAATAAATGGGAGTTGTCTTTAGGAGCTGTGTTTGTTTTTAATAGACCAAATTCTAAATGGCACTGTAAGCAGCATCTTGACTAATGATTATGGTACATACGGGATCACTAAGGTCACCAGCATGGAGAAGGCTGTAATGAACCACATCGGAATGTTACAATTTCCAAAGTCTACTTTTTAGAAGTGATGTGGTTCCTAACGTGGTACACTTACTTGCTGGTGAACCATATTTCTAATCTATTTCTTTATTCATTTTTACTCTGACAAACAGAATTTTGCATACTCACTCTAGTTATTTCCTAGAAGAGGTTCCTGCTGTTCCTCAGTCTCACTTCAGTTCTAGTTTGGGATGTTCTGCTTACCCTTTATTAAATGGCAAAGTCCGATAAAAAAAAAACTGATGATTATTAAGATTGTACTAGGAGATACCTTGGGTTGAAACTACTATTATTAACCTAATAGATGACCTGTGGAACTGGAAGCCAGTATATAATGATTAGAATCTTAAAGGTAAATCTTAAAGTTAAAACATTGTTAAATCTGGCCAAGAAGTAAGTTACATTTACATTTATCTTATGTATCCCAAAGCTAATTTTTTTCTAAATATTCAATGATATTTGAATATTTACATTATATGTTAATGCATATATACATGTCATTAACATACATGACATATATACATGTCATTAACATATAACAATATATACCTATTTTTAAGTCTTTATTTTCATTTTATTCAAATACACATAATTGATACATTTGAACAATTAAGATAAAGTAGTCTATCTCTAAATTCAATTGAATCATGAAATGGTCTTTATGCCGATGTAGTTTTTCAGAACTAAGAACATGTTCCTGACATAAAACCATCATGTAAGGTCAGTTTGTTCCAAGTTAAACAACCACATATTAAAAGTGAGGACATCATGAATCAATCCAGAATCTACGTTAATTTTATAGTTTCCACATTCAAGGAAATCAGTGTCTTTAAAGTCATTCTTGTGGTATGTAATTCCAAAAAAAAATTCTCTATGAATATCTGAATTTCATATCATGCCAGATTTTAAGATATATTTATATTATATATACACATATATGTGTATGCATCCTGTCAAATTACATTTGTAATGTACTCTTCCTACTCATAATCAGTTTGACATAATGCATTTTGAAATACTAATGTTCTATGAAAATTAGCTGCCTTGTATATTTTCAAGAATTAAACCCCGAGTATGTTTTTGTTTTTTCTCTAAGGAGCAGGTACTGAGGATTCACCAAACTGCAAACGAATCTCTTTCTTGTAAATACTAATCTTTAGAGGGTATTTTTAAATTCAGAACTCAGTATAATATATAAGCATTTCCACATTTACAAAACCATAAGTTCCTTCACAAAGCAAACCTACAAATTTGACAAAAGTGTGTATTATTGCTCACTTTTACAACTAGAAATTGATGTTAATTATTATAACGTAGTCCAATTCCCTCCTGATAGCCTGGACAAATGAAGGGAAATAAACAAAATTATCAAATGTCACAGAAGTGGCGCTGGAGGCCAGAGGGAGAGCAACAGACAGACAAAAGGAAATTGGGAGAGGGAAGAGATATATAGCTAAAACTAAAATGCTTAGAATGCACTAGACCTTGGCCTGGCCCCTGACCCACTATAATCTACTTAATTTGCCATCTATATTTCCAAAATAATTTAACAGCTGAAGCAAATTGATCACTGCGAGCAGGAAATTTAAGTCCTGCACTTAGTTTGAGATCCGCCAGAAAGAAAAAGAGGTAAACAGAAAAAGATCTAAATAGCAATAAGTGGGGGGTGTGTGTGTGTATGTGTGTATGTGCACGCGTGGGGCTGTGGGGAGGGTTAAATTAAAGCTAACTATGCTCAAGCCTCAGCACTAACGCTATTCCGCGCGTACTACAAAAGGCAGGGCCCTCTGGAGCCTCCCCGGTGCCCGGCAGGAGGCGGGGGTGATGGATTCTCCTCCCGTGATTGAGAAGCCTCAGAGCGGAGGGAATGGGTGGCGGGCATCTGCGCCCCCGAAAGCGGCGCGGAGTGGATCCAATTAACACTTTCCTCGCCAGGACTTGGGACCGTGAACTCCCGAAAGGGCGCACACGGGGGTGGGGCAGCGAGGTGGGCTTCCACTCCTTCGGAGGGAGAAGCGAGATGAGGGGCAGCACTGCATCCCCGTCCCCATGCCAGGCGCAACAATTACCCGTGAGGTTCCTCAGCACCGTCCCGTGGGCCCAGAGGCTCAGGACCTGCTGCACCGACAGGTTGATCATGGAGTGGTCGCCCCCCTCCGCCTTCATCT